AAATAATGATAATGATGATAATAATGATGATCAGAATATATTTTTGTGACTTTTTCATGAAAAAAGATTGTGTTAGTGTTCAGGATCATGTTGAATTTTTTCTCTAATATAATTCACCGGTTGAAATGCCTTTTCACCCATTTTTGAAATTCATACACTTTAGGCTTACCATTACATGTGGATAAATTGGTTAATTGTGAGTGAGTTGGCTAACCTAAATTAATCTTAAAAAGATCCCTCTCTAATCAAGTTAACAAACCTTAAAATGATTTTTTTTATATAGGCCAAGCACACTTAACCTTTTTGATCCCTCTCTAATCAAGTTAACAAACCTTAAAATGATTTTCTTTTTTATAGGCCAAGCACACTTAACCTTTTTCTTAGATATTTTGATATGGAAATAACCTCTTAGATTAATTTGTTATAATAATATTTCAATAATTATCCAATTATGTCTATGTTTTAGCAAAGGTTAATGCTTTTTTATAACGAAATTATTAATTATTTTATAAATAATTATATAATAGCCCAATGTGCATAACTTTTTAAATAATTTGCTCATTAATGTTGAATAAAAATAAAATGTATATTTTTTTATTAATGTATTATATAATTTTCTCAAATTTATTGTTCATGTTCTTTTCCATACATGTGTGTGAAAGTGATCTATTCATGAGTTTTTAGTTTTTTTAAATTGAAAATTTATTCCATTATCATGATAAGTTCTTGCTTTAGAAAATACTTCTAAAATAAGCATATTTCATCAAAATAAAAAAGAAATACATGGATAAGAAAAATAGGTTTTTGATATAATAAAACTTAAAATCAAGTTAATATAATGTGAGAGGTTGAAATGGAAAAGAAAAGAAAAATTAATGATTGTAATTATATAATTGTTTGAGAACCTAAAAATGAGATATATATACATATTTTTTTTAAGTTTTATTAGTTTATTTTATTTTCATGCTCTAACATATTGGTGTGGTGAGAAAGGTCCCAATAACAAATTAAGGGTCGATATTACAAATTATAATCTTAATATAGTTTAAAAAAACTGAAACAACAAAGACAAAAGTTAACACTAAAAAAATAGCTCTTTTTGTTTTTTATTGTTCATGGTAGCAAAAAAACTATTGTTTGGTCCTCGAGGTTTTCAATTTTCTATGTTTGGTCCCTATTTTTTTAGAATTTTACATTTCAGTCATGAACTTTTTTAAAATTTAAGTCTTTCGGTTTTAAGGGGAGAGAGAGAGAGAGAGAGAGAGAGAGAGTCACTAGAAAAATAAAAAGAATAGATAAAGTATTTGGTTGGCTACTTTTCAATTATAGATATGATCGATCTTAATGTCATTGGGTTTATTTACCTAAACAAATGACTCATCATTTACTACATTAAAAAGAAAAAAGAAAAACAAAAATAAATGATGTGTAGTCTATTCATTCAAAAGAAAACCCAGGGACGTGGATGTGGTCTTCAAAGCTTATGCACATTTGTGCTATTTTTCTAGGGATTTAAATAAGGTCTTTAGCACCTAGTCTTTTATTAGATATTTTTTTTTTTTACTAAGATTATTCATTAAATTAATTTATTAAAGAATATTTAAGAGATTATCCAATTATGTCATTGTTTTTAATAAGCCTAGTTAATTAATAATATGAAGAAAAAAAAAAGATAACAATAACATATAAATCAAATAAAATAATTTTCAATAATTAATTATAAAAAATGATTTGTCAATATCATACTACTTGAAAAGTGAAGAAACAAAAGTTCGCTAGAAACTCAATGTAACTCCATAATGGACACTCCCCCACCATAAAAAAAAGCTTAACAAGAATGTTCTAACATCACTATAAAAGATTGCATGAAGACACTAAAAAAGGATACACGTGTCACAAAAGCAATGATTTAAAAGGTAAATTAAATAAAATATCATGAAGTGATTATCTCAAATTTATATTTAAATAGTTAATTTAACTTATTAAAAAAAACTAAATTTAACAAAGATTGAAAAATAAAAAGAGCTGAGAGAAAACTGAGGTCATTTTCAAAATTAGTGATAAATCCTATAAAAAAATAAAAATAAATAACAAAGTTCAATCTCCAATTAGATTAAATATTGAAAGATAAAATTGAAAAATTATGAGTTTAATTAAAAGAAAACAATTAAGCGAACCCCAGCAAATCTTCTAACGTGATTTAGTCTCTCAAATTCAAAACCCATAAAATCCTAAACTCGAGCTCAATAAAGAAGTTAAATTTTCAGTTAATTATTAAATGATAAAATTAAAAAAATATTAGATTTAATAAATTAACCAAAGTAAACAATAATAGCAATTACAGGAATAACAATAAAATCTGATATGAAAAAAAAATGGAGGATGAATTAGTGAGAAAAAAACCTATTTTAAAAGTCAACTCAAATAATAATAAAAAATAAGGACTAAATATGATAGATAAAAAAGATTGAAAGAGGATGAATTAAAAAAATCACCTCTACAAATTATTTAAAATAAAAAATATGGATCAAATCTAAAAATAAAAAATTAAAGAATTGTTGTGAATATTTAAAATGTCAAGTTCAAAAATCAAGAAGGAAAAAAAAAGCTAGCTAAGTTCAAAAATCAAGAAGGAAAAAAAAAGGAAAAAAAAAGCTAGCCAATGCCAAATTAAGATACACGTGTAGCCCAAGGATAACTTGAGAATAGAGATCCTTGAGTGATGATTCCAAAAATACAAAGAATGACCTTTTTGGTTGTCATACACTCCACCTAAATACAAAAAGGTGGTTTACTTATTAGTGGGTATAATGTGCACGCCAATCACTTTTTTATATTTATTAAAATACTAAATTACCTCTCTTGATACCTAGTAATAACAAAAAAAAACACTTAATAAAAATACAAAAAATCCTCTAGAATCCAATTAAATAAATTTTGCTTTTAAGTGTATTCCAGTTACTTTGCTTTTAAAAGTAAAAAATTAATTATATCTCTAAAAGCAGTTATTTGAGTTTTATTTTTAATAAAAATAAAATCATTTTAATATGAAAAAAATAAAAAAATTGAGTTATCTCAAATCATCTTTATAATGATGAACAAACTATATAAAAAATCATTGACCAAAATCAATTACATATGAACCTGTTGTGATTTTTTTTTTTTAAGTTTATGGTTATGAATATTCTATGAAAATTAAGTTGAAGTCATTTTAATTATAGTTATTGCAAATATATTTTTTTAATTGATGTTACTTTTTATTCAATAAACTATACTTCTTCTAAGGAGAAACATTATTTTTTTTATCAAAAAACAAAAACTAATTTGTTTTGCATAATTTTATTCATTGTCTGCAAATATCTTTTTGATACATTAGAGTCAAAATTATTAAAAAAATATGTATTTATTTATTTATTTTTAAAACTAAATTTTATAGTTTTGATAAGCTATTTTTTATCATAAAAAAATATTATGATAAAAAAATTAAAAGAAATAATTGTATTAATAAAAAGAATGAATTTTAATTAAATTATTCTTATATCAAATCATTAAAAATTGTTTTGATTTTATTCTAATTTTATTTAATAAACATATCTCAAAATGCTATTATATATATAATTGTATTAATTTTTCTTGTGATTTAATCTAACAAGTATCTTCATATTAGTTTTAGGTATCTCTTATATTTTGATTTATAAGAACAATTGTTTTGTTTTATAAAAAAAAATATAATATGTATCAGTCGCAACCGTTCTAATTAATATTTAGTTTTATTAGAGCATTGATGAGAAACATTTAGAAGCAATGATTTAATACAATGAAAATCTCATAATTATAAAAATTTTATAATTTTATTTGTAAAGTATTTTTGTCCCAAAAATTTTATTTTTACTTTAGATTCATTAATCAAATATTTGATAAATATTAAAGATAAATAAATATTAATTAATAAATTATATATATATATATATATGAACAAAATTAATGATACATATAACCAACTTATTAGTTACATAACATATACAATAACATTAAAAACATACAAGAATTTGCACACATAAACAATGAGGAATCTTTAGATCTATTACTTATCAAGATATCCAAGAGTGCACATGTTAGGATAAACTAGCACCCTTCAATCCATAAAAGCAAAGAAGCTTTACTTGAAAGGAAGACGGTGAGATTTCAGTATAACTGCTTTGGTGCACCTTATGCTGGCATTAAACTTGTTATTTTCTCTAGTGCAGCAGAATGAGTTGCTGTTGTTTTTTTTTTTTTTTTTTTTTTTGGGGGGG